CTCTGCAATAGCATGTGTTTGAAAAACTGAAACAATAGAAAGAGGCTGGAATGAGCTGCACTGAAATCAGCTGAAAACAACTGAATTGACTCTAGAGTGAACTGAACTACAACTGAACTGCAACATGCTCTATCATACTATATCCTTCTGCAGGGTACCTGGGGCCCTGTCCCTGTCTCTTTTTTGCTGGAAACCGGGTCCAGCGTCCCTTAGAGTTGCTTGTTAACCCGCTGCTTCCTTTCTCGGGTCTGTCCATCCTTAGTCCTGCATGAGGCCTTGTTCATTCTACACCATACCATTGCATGTCGACCATCGCCAATTGGTGGGGCTGGAATGGGTCGGGGAAATCTGAAGGTGGTCGTAGCGGTACCTCCTGTCCCACCTTAGTCCAGTCCTTGAAGTTGATTGCGTAGTCTCTTCTGAGCTCATCTTGGTCGCGTTCCTGGGCAGGCTTGCCGTCCCAACGGACTACAACGATCCAGCCCCCGTTCGCATTGCCCAACCAGTCCCCGGAGGACTGCAGAATTGTTTGTGTTATGTCCTTTGGTGTGTGGAGCAGATCTAGTTGGTTTTTCACTTTCTGCCACTGTGTACTGAGTTCTTGTTGTATGTTTTGTTTTATCATGTCTGATACCTCTTCCCCGGCTATACGGACTCCCTCTATTGCGTGAATGCACCGTTTTCTCCAAAGGGCCCACATGACTGCTCTCCGTCCTAACTTGAACATATTATTTTCGAAGACATTGTCGGTGGGGGAGGACCAGGTCTCACACAGTATGGCTCTCCAATCCCATGGCCAATCAGAGCCGGTATCCAGTTTAGACCAGATTCTGTCCCACCATCGCCACGTGAGCACCGCCCCTAGGCATTGCATGAATATGTGCTCTATTGTTTCTGGTACTCTGCGGGAGGGGAAGGCGGTGTGGCACGATCTGCACCATGGTAGTGTGCGGCCCCTTTGCTCCAAATATGTACGGTCAATCAGCCAGTCGTTCGTGGGCAGGCAGCGGTGTTCTATCTGCCATTGCAGTGAGGCCATTTTCGCTGGACTGGACCGTGTGGCGGTGGAATGGGGTGGATTGCCTCTGTTCCTACATTCAGATGGGATTTCCATCGGGCTTTCACTGTTTCTTTAATGTTCACTTTTGGGCGCAGCAGGCGGTAGGACGCTTTCACCGTCAAGGTGTGTAGATTTAATCTCTCCCCCATCGTGCGCGTTTGTGGGCGGGACCACTGCCATTCCTAGGGATCAAGAAGGAGTTCTGCTGTAGGAGTGTCTGGCTGGTATACGATCCACGCCTCTTTATCCCACAGCACACGGATTCTATGTAAATCTGAATTTCTATACCATGTTAACACGTCTGGAGTGTAGCTGGGTTGGGTTGGGTTACCCTGATTGTTTTTTAGGGCAGGCTGTACTTTCAAAAATGTAGGTGGATTGGGTGAAGTGCCATTCTCTGGTTCAGAACGAGAGGCTAGGGTTTAGGGTTTATGAAGGCGATAGGTGGATTGGGCGAAGTGCCATTTTCTGGTTCGGAACGAGAGGCTAGGGTTTAGGGTTTATGAAGGCGATGGGACGGGGAGTAGAGGCCAACAGCAACAATAACCTTGCCTGATAAGGAATGGAACTGCCAGTGAAGAAAGAAGGATAAGGCGCTCCCAAGGGGGCCAGAAGAGGCAGAGCCCCACTCATACGCTCAGATTGTGATTTGCACCCGGTTCCCAGCAGGTACAGCTCCCCACCAATCGATGGTTCCAACTGGAGGATGTAGTAGGAGGGGATGCCCGTATCACCTCTCCTAATAGTAACCATGGTTGGGTACCATCAAAAAAAAAATAAAAAAAAAACAAGGTGATCTAGTGCTCGCATACGATTCAGTTTGTTTCGCCAGGGCCAGAATCCATGGCCAAAAGGCCGAGACCCCAAGTGACCCATTTATGAACACACCGGTCTGTCCACCTCCTAGAAACAAATACGGGCATAAAAAGACAAAAGACAAAATCAATTAATCCGGAGCGAGTCCTTTGGGACATCGGTTAAAATTGGAATGATACAGAGAAGATTAGCATGACCCCTGCAAAAGGATTTAAGAAAATAAAAATAAATAAATAAATAAATATAAAAAAAATCAGGAACGAGGGCGAAAGTGTCGCCACTAGGCTTTGTTTGGGAGGCAGTCTCCAATTCAGGAAAAAACAAACAACAAACATGGTGCCTTCCTGATGCAAAACACCAGTTTTTGACAGGGCATTAAAAATATTAAAATCCCAATGTAACGTTATTCTTGTCCTGGGGCCAGGTCCCGCTTGCACGAATTAAGAGATACTGACCGTAGATAGCAAAGATCAACGGCCGAAATCTCCTAATTTGCCCAAGTGGGACCTTGCCCCTGAAAGCTTTCTCAGGCGGTCTGCTAAGGGGCCCTAACGCACCAGCTCTGTTACCTCCCTCGTTAAAATCTGTTCTTTTAACCTTCTTTTTTTTTTTTTTTTTTTTTTTCCCCTTCCATTCCCTTCTTGTAAACCACCACTACCTCCTTTCCCATACATCGGCCATGGGGAGGGTCCCCACTCGTTTGGGAGGGGACCGAAACGAGCCGGGCAGCCGCCAATGAAAATCTCTTGACCAGGGCAACGGTGTTCCGCCCGGTCCCCGAAGAATGCCTTCTGTTTCATATCCAGAGTTTTTTTTTTTTTTTTTTTTTTTTTTTTTTTTAATCCAGAGTTAAAATAAAAACTCAACTCAACACTTTATAATAGTTTATATCCAGAGTTAAAATTTCCCAATACTGCGAAAGGTAGTAACTGTTGCGGTTTCATCTCCAAATGTCAATTGCACAGATGGTCATTGGTCACAAATAAAATTCAATTGATACACCAATTTGAAAGTCTAAAAATTTGGAAAAAATGGAAAACTGCAAATACCATGATTAGAGACCAAAGTCAAAGGAGAAGAATCTCGAGGCCCGTGCTTGTCGACCCACAGCCTGAGGACACACTTCCATAAAAGTGCGGGGAATGCAGACCATCTAGCCTCACAAAAAAAAAAAAAAAATCTTACAAGGATTTTTCAGTCAAACCTTTAAACCACCAGTACCTTGCTCAGCTATTGAATCCGAGCCTCCCAGCACGCTGCGCGCCAAGTCCTGCTGAACCGCCGTCGCAATTTTCGGTCCTACTCGTTCTCAACTTTTTTTTTTTTTTTGAACGAAAAAAGGTGACTTTTCGACAGCGGCAATTCAATCTCTCTCATGTAAGTAGGTACTGAAAAGTAATCGCTGCAGCCAGACTGCAGTCACTGCGGTAATTGTCACTCGCTCCGACATTTACCGCAGTAATAAATTCCATGGCTCACAGACAGACAGACTGCAGGTAGTTTTTCTGACTTGCTGCCGTTCTTGTCAGGGGCTGGATTGCAGGGTTGGTGTGAGATTGTGAGTGAAGTCAACAAGTTTTCTCTCTCTCAGGGATGAGACTGAGGGATGGGGATCGCTAAGTTAAACTCTGGCGTCTCTGGGCGATGTGACGAGTCCTTTTTCCTTTTCTTATCTTTTTAACCCAAGCAAACACAAGCCGTTAACTTGGGTTAAAAAGAAAAGAAACTCAGGTAGAAGTAGCTTCAACCCCCTGATGAGTCAATGAACATCTGACCGGACAGCCTGGCCCACTCATGCTCTTTTTCAGTGTTTAGCGAATACGATAAAGCACACACACACACCTGTCTCTTATACACATCTAGATGTGTATAAGAGACAGGCAGATAGACTGAGTGCTAGACAGTGTTATATATATATATATATATAGAGAGAGAGAGAGAGAGAGAGAGAGAGAGAGAGAGAGAGAGAGAGAGAGAGAGAGAGAGATCTTTTAACGAGAATGAATCTTTCGCCACAACATGGGAAGATTCGTTCTCCTCTTTCTCTCTCTCTCTCTCTTCCCCCCCCGCTGTCGAGCAAAACAGACTTTTCTATTCTTTTCTGCAGATGGAGCTTCTCTTTTTGTTTGTATAGGTCTCATAAATATACCAATAATGAAATTCTCTGTAAATTGGTGGAACACTTTTCATCAACCTTCTAGTATTAGCCAATTTGGTACATCAATACATCTTTCTATGCTGATACACATCTTTCTGATGTTTACTAGCTTTTTGTTGTTAACTTTGATTTTTTTTCTGATAGAAACACGACAGTTTATCCTATCTTTTTATAGTTATTCAATCAAAAACCGGTTGAGTCATTGTTCAAGCGATTAATTTGAAATTCTTGAGATGTGGACAGTAACGTATGGCCCGGAATGGGACCGGCTTCACTTATCAAGTCCGTTATCCTAACCTTACCTTCTGCTTCATCGAAGCCGTTCTTCGGCTTTCGCGTGCTGCTTTAATGTATTTCAAATGTTTTTGCTTTTTTGAAGTTTTTTCCTTTTACGTTTTAAAAATCTTGTTCTTTTATTTCTTTTTCTTTCGTATTTGCAAAAGAAAGAAGCCCGTGGTGCTACTGGTAGCTCTAGGCTCGGCACGGTTCTGCTTGAAAAAATGTGTCGCTCTCTACCGGTGGAAGCTGGAGCACGGCCCAACAACGGGATGTTCGCTACCATTAAAACAACGGGGATTGAACCTAACCACAGCAGGTGGCAAGGTTCCCTCTCCAGTTTCAAACTTGTGGAGCGCTTTGAATTTTCGCACCGTCATCCATGGACGGCGCAAGGTGGAGATGCCTCACATTTTTGCGTCGTCGTCCAATGATGTCATGTTACTATGGTGCGTGTAAATGTTTGAGGGACTGAGACAATGGGGAACAGGCGGGTGCGGGTGGAAAATAACTAGGTGCCGGGTGCAAGCGGGTAATCTTGTTCTCCGGGGTGTGGGTGGGTCAGGCTGAAGGGCTTTTAGAACTTTTACTGGTGTCGGGCGGG